AAACTATTCAGGAAAAAACACCATATAAGATGCGGTAAGCTGAACACAGCTTCAACCGTCTGTTTGTTGAAAAATAGTAACGCGACCGCACCTCATTTTCTTGTTAGTAACAGTAACGGCGTTGTAACGATAGAAATAGTCATTAGGCTCGGCATTTAACTGTTTTTTTCTTGTGTATTGGATGGGAGTTTTCTCTTATGTTCTGTCTCTCATAGTTCTGCTCTAACACTGCTTCTCTAACCTGTGGGGTTCCACAAGGTTCAGTCCTAGGCCCATTACATTTTTCTACTTCCTTCCCTTAGCTGTCATCATTAAATCTTTTTCTGAATTATTTTTTGTTCCAATTATATGCTGATGCCTTTCAAATGTCCAAGTGTCAACACCTGCAAAGGCTATATATATATAAGCTTACTACAATGTTTAACCCATATCAGTGATTGACACTCTCACCTTGTCTTACACACCAACAAAGCTGAGGCCATGGTCATAGCCCCTCCTGGTTTATATTCTAATTTCAGTCAAACTCTTACATCCTATTGTTCAGTCACAGTGTCTGAAATCTTGGTGTTATATTTGATGCCTCTCTGGGTTTTGACTTGCATGTAAAATCAGTGTTTCATTCCTTTTTTTTTCCCATTTGAGGAACATTTCTAAATTGCAACATGTGGTCTCTTTGATGGAACTGGAGTTCCTGCATTTGTGCCTTTGTGATTAGATTATTGTAATAGCTTGTTTCTTGACTTACATCAATTATCTTTTCACATCTCCAGACAACACAGAATGCTGCTGCCAGATTATTAACACATTCCAGCAAGTGAGCTCATATCACTCTCACTTTATATTCTTTACATTACACTCCCATTAGACTCCTATACAGATCACAGTTACTTATCATGGATCTCAAAGCACAGTTTTCATGATGGCGCTGTTGTTTTAATCCCTCCTGTTAACAATCAAGGGTCAATGAAGGTCGACTTTATCAAAGAACTCTATACTTATGTTTGAGAAATTGATCCTAGTCATGAGATTCAGGTCAAACTGGGTCACAGCAGCAGAAATTGGGCCACTGTGTCTTTGTTTCTGCTGATGTTAGTAATTCACCATGCAGCCGGTAATAAGGAGACCCACTGCTGACGGGGCGGAACTGGCTGCTGTTTTTGAGGCCGCATAGAGATGTCGATGGGCCTCAGGTGATATGCTGCCCTTGGTACAACAATATCACGGCGAGGTCACATATTATTAGCGTACACTGCACTTCTCAGGATTGTTTTTGTCTCAGGGGTGTTGGTTAAACACGACCAATCAGAGGGAGAGAGAAAAAGCTACAGGGATTTTATTTCCTGCACACTTTATTGTGCTGTTGATTTAGCATAATCCATAGCAAGCTTATTATATTAAATGTATTTCAATTATGATTTTAATGTCATTGCACTGTGCAGAAGGCAATGAAGAAAAGTGAAGGGCAATCTGCACTCTAAATATAGCAGACTCACAAATATTGAATCTAACTTTTCAAGCAGAACAAATATCCTGCACCTGGTTGTACCAAAGTCCTTCCAGAAGCAACTCTTGCCAGTCAACCTGAAAATGCCTCCAGGCAGTTATTTTTAAGTGCTTACCTAAATGAATAGTGAGCAAGCTATAACTTACATTTTGATGATAATGGGGACAAAAGCTGCACGTGTAGAATCATCACTCAAAAAACGCATTCAGCTGCTGAGCGGGTCACCACAGCAGAGGGATCGACATATTTGATTAGGTTTTACGCTGGATGCCCATCTAGGCTTGGAACCAGAACCAGGAGTAGCGGACTAGCTTCAGACCTTCAGAGTCTGGGTTTATGGAACACAACTAATCAAATAATGCAAAAGAAAGAATGTTATTTATCCTTAAGATAAGGGTAATGTGGCAAAAGTAAATCTTAATTAAGCCATTATTTCAGTTTAGAAATAAAAGCAATAAAAGCAATAACAGAAGCATGATACTTAAAGAGCAAACCCACCCTGATAAAACTCTTCATCATATCTTATCATCAGCGTTACTGAAGCTTACGAACATCTGATTGCAATAACAACAGTGATGGCTCCTTTATCACACACCCTAATTTCATTAAATAGATGAATAGATTGTGTTATGAGGCCCGGTTCTGTTGCAGGACCAGATGACGGCTTCAGGATTGAATTTCGTCTGCATTCAGTTGATTATCTTCAGGAAGGACAAACACAAGCAGGAAAACAGCTGATCACAGAGCCATGGCTCTACCCAGAAGGCACTTGAGTTTTTTGTGTATTATTGTTTCGAGTATATCTTTTCATGATTTTTCTGTTTGCCTTTAACCTTAAGAACGTCCTCTGAAGAATAAATAGCAGTGATTTGTGGTAGCAGCAGGTATGTTAATTAGAGTTCAAAGATGACGAGTAAGTGTGTGTCCCTACATGTGAGTGCTTCTACGTGCAGCCCGAGTGACTTCCCCGTTTGATTCCTGCTATCACTGCTCCTGTGACGCTGCATCTCTGACCTGTCTGGCGTCAGCTTCTACATTTTATTGCATCTGTCTGCCTCCTGCAATGATTTAAAATCCCATTATGATATCAAATTTCATATTCAATATCTTTGTCATACCTCTTCTTCTCCCTTCTCCTCTTCCTCCTTTCATTCCCCTTCTTTCTCCCTCCAGGACAAGCAGGTCACAGGTTATCTCCTGTTCTCCCTCGCCACCGCCGTCATCGGCTCTCTGCAGTTTGGTTACAACACAGGAGTCATCAATGCTCCAGAGATGGTTGGTGAATATTAGCAATCTAATGTGATGTAGGCTTCATACTGTAGGAGATATAAGTTATTGTAAAGATTGCAAATACAAATATCTGATTTCTCAAGCATTACAGCCGAGGTGGTTTGAACATAAACCACAAGATAACAGAGGAACTGTGGTGCTCACATCACTGCATTTTAACCCTTTAAAACCTGAACCGTGAAATAACTGCCAGAAAACTTTTTTGGATAATGGAGTGTTTGTTGAACCTTTAAACAAAATATATAAAAATCTCTCAAATCTTAATCTGCATATATGAGTTTTAATTTGTATCACATTTGCTACATCAGACATATATTTGCAAGTTAGTCATTAAAAATGTGTCATGCAATTTATATCATTTTTGTCACACTGAATATGTAGAAGTCTTAAAAACACATGTATCAAATATGATGCGCTTGGCTTTAAAGGGTTAATTTTGCTTGTTTTCAGAGAAGCAAATTTACATCAGAATTATATTAAGGCTTAAATTATAAAATGTTTGTGTTAATTTGGGGGAGATTTTTATTTTACTTAACTAAGAGATAAAAGTCAGTGCTTTATTAATGTGAAAGAATAAATAACAAAAATAACCTCTTTGAAAAAGTTGTTTTGGTTGAAACAGATCTCTCCATTTACCCACTTTTCTCACTTTCTAACTTTATCTTCGTTTTAAATATAGTTATTTTTTTGTTTATTGAACACATAAAATACCAAATACTATAATGTTCTGTCTATTCTTCTGTCTGGCCAGTTCTGTGAATTGATCTGTTTTCTCATCCTCTGTCTGTGCATCCATCTCTGCCTACAGAAACTCAAATCTTTCTTCAACGTAACCTGGTATAAGCGATATAACGAGGAAATCGACCCTGGTGTTTGCACCATTGTCTGGAGCGTTGCTGTTTCCATCTTCAGTGTGGGCGGCATGGTGGGCTCCTTTAGTGTTGGTGTCATAGCTAACCGGTTTGGCAGGTACGAAACCTTCTTCATCCTGTTGTGTAATATTATAGGTAACATGCAAGATTTATTTTCTTTCACCATCTTTAGCCAAAAAACCTTTTAGTTACAGCCTCTCTATAAGAACTGTTGTTTTTACTTTTAGAGCAGTTTTGTGGACATTAAGTCACAGCAGTGTTTTTCACTACATTGGCTCTGTGCATTTCCTGTTCGGTACAGCTGAACCATCACAGCCCATTACTGTTAATGGATCTCATGAAGCGTGTCTGTCCTGAGTTCGCTGCTCTGCTCTAACGTTCCCCAGAGTTGTTCCTTTATTTCTCCATTTCCTTCTAAATTGTTTATTTGTGGTGAGTCTGCTGCCAGTCACCATGTGAAGTTACTGGGAAGTTAACACACAGCTAATGCTAGTGTTGGCTAGCAAAATGAAAAGATGGTGTCCATATAACCTAAACTGTATTTAAACTGTTTTTTGTTTTTATTTCGTCTAAAGTTAAGCCTTTTAATATGGAAATCTATGGATACTTTTGGAACCAGCCTTGAGACGTCATTCCAGGAGTTTCAGTCTTTGGGACTTCTACATTAGCTTTAATTTTCCTCCCTGGAGTTTGGTTGAAAATGTTAGTTTTCCTTTGTCAAACGTTTTAGCATCAAGTTGTGGAGTTTTTTTGTACATTTTTTTGTTTTTTTTAATCATTAACATTCATATTCTTTCCTCAACCTCCCCATCCTCAGGCGTCGCTCCATGATCCTGGTGAACTCTCTGGCAGTGATCGGCGGCCTCCTTATGGGCTTCTCCACCATCTGTTCCTCCTACGAGATGGTGATCGCTGGGCGTCTGGTCATCGGCCTTTTCTGTGGCCTTTTTACTGGCCTGACTCCCATGTATGTTGGCGAGGTGTCACCAACGCCGCTCCGCGGAGCTTTCGGCACTCTGCACCAGCTCGGCGTGGTTGTGGGCATCCTGATCGCTCAGGTCAGCAGCTCTACTAAAAACTGCACACTAGAGATGTGTGACTGCTTGACTGCTTTAGGAAATTAATGTAATTTGCTGGAGTAAGCTTTGCACGGATCTGATTGTTTAATGCTGCAGGGGTTTTACTTTACAATATTAAGTGCCTCGAGGTGACTGCTCTTGTAAATTGGTGCTATTTAATCAAATGTAGTTGAATTGAAAGTTTATTAAGTCAAAGCTCAGAAGACATGTATATTAGGTTCATTTCGGGCATCTGAGCTAAACCTAGTTTGTATCAAGAAGTCTTTGAGTTATAGGAGTTTATTCATTATTAATTAATATGGATAATTATCATCGCTGTGGTCGTTACTCAAGAAAAGAAATGCATTACAATGCATTACACTTTTCCAGAAAGTTAAAGTTCACTTAATTACAATTTAACAACAGAAACCTTAGGATACAGTCCCACACGCTAAGACAAATGTCATTCCTAATGAGGACAAACTATCTTTCTTTTAGTTTTTACAAATGAAAAAAAGCCAACGTGACAAAGCAAAGATCAAAAGCAGCCCAAAGTGATCACTACAGTGATTCTACTTCAATTCAATTTTATTTATATTGCACCAAATTTACAACAACAGTTACCTCAAGGTGCTTTATATTGTAAGGTAAAGAGTCTACAATAAATCAGCGAAAACCCCAACAATTAGATGGCCCACTATGAGGAAGCCCCCTGGTGACAGTGGGAAGGAAAAACTCCCTTTTAACAGGGAGAAACCTCCAGGAGAACCAGGGTCAGGAAGGGGTGGAGGAACTGTGAGGCCGTGAAATATGAAAGTTATGCATGAATTTAAAACAAGATATTCTTTAGTCTTGTCTTACTACATAGTAGTATCTACAAGAGGATATCAGCTAGGATACACAGTGAGCATTAAAACTGATTGAGTTTTATTGTTTTTATCAGTTTTACCCTTTTTCTGTGTCCCCTGATGTCTAGATCTTTGGTCTGGAAGCTCTGCTGGGTTCAGACAACCTGTGGCCTCTGCTGCTGGCCCTGACTGTGGCCCCCGCTGTCCTGCAATGCATCCTGCTGCCTTTCTGTCCCGAGAGCCCCCGCTTCCTGCTCATCAACCTCAAACAGGAAGAGGAGGCACGCAACGGTACACAATAATACATCTATAAATATACTGCAATGACACACAACATTACTGCATTTCCTGCTGCTGTGCATGGATGGACTCCAACATCTTGGATTGCACCTGGTGGTGGTGTTTCTCTCTCTCCTCTGAAGCCTCAGTGAGGTCACAGTAGCACCACCTTTTTTTAGCTTCTGATTAGAATGGCGCACCACCTCACAGTAGAAGCCCAGAGCAGAATGGAAGCTGCAGTAGAAGAAAAGAGACTTGAGTTAGCAAACTTATATTCAAAACCATCACAACATGCTGAGCTAGCAAGAGCTAGCTCATTAGCAGTGGCTGGTTTTTCAAAATAAGAGCAAAGAAACTGTCTACTAATAAATTAATCACTTTACCTTAAAATATATGAAGCACAACACATACCAAGTATAGTCTTGTAAATGCTACTATTACTGTATATCTGCTACTAATGGGGATAATAAGGATTTCAATAAACTAAATTAAACTACCACCAATAGAAACGTAACTTCAGTCACTCACTGTTGTTAGCTTTATTGTCTCTATCCCCACGGCACCTATAACACTATAATATGTATTCTATTAGCACCAGCATTACTGCTAAAGACCACCTTGAGATGGTCCCATTGACTAACACAGTGTCTTCATGTAATAATGTTGGAACGACTCAGCAGTTACTACAGCACTGCAGCATTACAGCGACAGAAGCAGTGAGAAGGAGAGCGATTCGTTACAGATACACAGAGGTGGGATCAGCGGAGTCAGGAGGAAGGTCGAGCCTGATCAGAGAGTTCTTGAACAGACAGGTTTTGGCATCTGTTCAACATGTGGCCTGTTTGGTTTGACTCTGAGGCCCTGACCCACTTCTCCTTCATGCCTCCATAAGATAAACAAACACAGTTACTGTGACTGTTTAGTGACTGCAGATTCTCTACAGAAAGCAAAATTTAGCAATGTGTCCTGATGTTATGAATAAAGGTTACGATAAACAAAGCTGCTATAACTCACAATCTTTTGTGAAGGAATAAATATGCAGATTGTCTTTTTTAAACAAAACAAACTCTGACATTATGTCGGAAAATACTTTGAACTCAGCCTGTGTGAATCCTGCTGTGTAGCGCCCGCTGGTGGCCATTACAAGGTTATAGCTCATTTTAAAATGCAGTTCATGGATTGCAGGAGCCTGTCCTGAGTTTGATGTGTGATAAACATCCATGAAAATTAATCTGCATATGAACTGTGGTGAATTCTGTCCGATAGCTGTAAGTTGTTGTTCCAGCATGTTACTCTTGAATGTCTACATCTTCTTCTTGTTGCTGTTTTGTTTTTTTGTCTTTTGCATCTGTAAAGGTGAACAAAACCTGTCTCTGTTCTGTCCGCAGTGCTTGTGCGTCTGCGTGGCTCTGAGGATGTGAGCAAAGATCTGCAGGAGATGAAGGAGGAGAGCGCCAAGATGGCCAAGGAGAAGAAAGTAACCATCGCTGAACTGTTCCGCACGGCAGCGTACCGACAGCCCCTCTTCATCGCCGTCATGCTGCAGCTCTCCCAGCAGCTGTCAGGAATTAACGCTGTAAGTTTAATGGGTTTTATTGTCTGTTTTTGGTGCAGCTTTGAGGTGGTTAGTGCTGTCAGCTCACAGAAAGAAGCTTGTTCTCCCTATCCCTGTGTGGGATTACTTCGGATACTCTGACTTCCTTCCATAGACATCCATGGCATTAAGCTAATTGGTGAATTTGGCTGTGTTGTGAATATAAACAAGAGTGATTGCCTGCCTCTGTGCAACCTGCGACAGTGCTGGGATGGGCTCCAGCCTCCCTGGCGGCCCTGACTTGGATGGATGGAAGCTTAATGTTTATTTTTAGCTCTTCCTGTGCCCTTCATTTTTTTAAAAATCTATATAATAAAACTGATAAATATAAGTTATAAAAATAAAAATAACAGCAGTGCTAGAAGGTATCGCTCAAACCACAGGTCAGAGTCAGAGATGGAGGGCAGTTTAGCGCTCTGAGCATTTGTTATTACATGTCTGGATCTTTTAGTTAATTTGAAAAAAATATTGGCTAAAAGTCCTCTAAAGGTTGTTATTTGACTAAAAGAAATGTCTTATAAGCAACGTCATGCTATAAAACTGTGTGTAGCTATTATTCCTGGATGTTGGGTAGGTTGGGCTGTTATATTCTCACTGTTGGCAGCTCCCAGAAGGATCCTATAGAAAAATTGGTTTATAAAAGATGGAGGTCAGCGGGAAAATAAAATATGCATTATTTATTTTGATACTGTTATAAATGAGGTAATATTACATCCCTCATATTCTCACTTCCATCCTCTCTACCTCACTCAGGTGTTTTATTACTCCACTGGGATCTTTTCCTCAGCTGGTGTGCAGAAGCCGATCTACGCCACCATCGGAGCCGGCGTCGTCAACACCATCTTCACCATTGTTTCTGTGAGTGACGCCGCCGTGTGTCTTCTTCATCTTGGTATGCGTTTGTGTGCGCTGGGAAGCACACGTCACTCACAATGTCCCTGTCCTACAGTTGTTCCTAGTGGAGAAAGCAGGGCGCAGGACTCTGCACCTCCTGGGACTGGGTGGGATGGCGGTTAGCGCTCTGCTTATGACTGTGTCCCTCCTGCTGGTGAGTTCAGTGACGTCAGAGAGCAATACAGAGACTGAGTAAGAACAAAGATGTGATTGATTCTCTCCACAGCCAAAACAAAAGTAAATGCGACATCAGCTGTTTGGTTTTGTTGCTATATTGAATGGCCGATGCAGTATTTCCATCAGTTATTTCCCATAGCATTTATATATTTAAAAGCAATTAATTGGTTAATTATTCTATTATTACTTTTTTCTGTATTTTTGTCCCTTGCCATTTTCAGTCAGTGGTTTGTATAAAGATGCGGAAACGTGGGAAAAAATTTAAAAACAAAATAATAAATAATTAAGGAGCAAATAAATATACTTAGTTCCACTGAAAAGCAAATAATTCACCATTGCATGCTCTCACTAACTGTTAGATAAGCTAATCTTTGTGTTCCTGCAGTAGTAGCTCATTCTCTTTGTCTGTGCAGGATAAAATCCCTGGTATGAGCTACGTGGCCATCTTGGCTGTCATGCTTTTTGTGGCTATGTTTGAGCTGGGCCCCGGTCCAATCCCATGGTTCATTGTGGCCGAGCTGTTCTCCCAGGGGCCCCGCCCGGCAGCCATGGCTTTGGCCGGCTGCTGTAATTGGACGGCTAACTTCCTGGTTGGAATGAGCTTCCCCACACTTCAGGTAAGGGAGAGGTGATCGTTTTTTTCTTGTGGTTTATTTTGCTGTAGATCATTCTGACTCTGCTCTCTCCTCTCCTCAGGGGTGGTTGGGCCCGTGGGTGTTCCTCATCTTCACCGGCTTACTGATCGTCTTTTTCATCTTCACATTCATCAAAGTGCCCGAGACCAAAGGCAAGACCTTCGACGAGATTGCTCGTGGCTTTAGTAGCGCCGCACCTCCTCCTTCCTCGTCCGCCGAGGATCCTCCAGCCAGTGCCAGCACTGCTGTGACACTTCCTGCCTCTCCTGTGAAGGAGAAGGTCCCACTGGTGGAGGCACCAGCAGCAGCTCCATCTCCGGTGGCTGAGACCACACCTCTTGAAGCTAAACAGGAGAGCAAGTAGAGCAGGTGTAGATGAGGTTTTAATGGATAAGAGAGGTTATAAACGAAGGAAGAGCCACAGCAATTTTAGACATACTCTAAATTGGAACTAAAGCTTATTTTACAGCAGGCTTAGATAACAATAGCGTTACGAGTTCATGGGTTTGTACCTTTGAAAGGTCCTACTTTCTGCTCTCATCATCGCACTTTGGACTTCTTGTTTTTCTGAACGTTCTCACGCTTCCTTCTTTTAAATCCTCTCTTCCTTTGAAAAGAAACATACATTCCTAGGAATTCAACTGCACTCATTGACAGTGTGACTCTTTTTCAACACGGCAGTGAGTCTCAGGATGACACACTGTAAAACAAAATTGAAGCAGGCGCGGGTAACAGTCAAGGTGAAAGGATGACGCTTTTATGAAGGGGTGTAGGTGTCTCCTTAAACATAATGTTTGAGTTCAGGCCTGAGTGATGTTAGAATAACAATGATCCACATTTTTTTAAACTGACACACTTCTGTTTAAAATATTAGACATGTGTCGTAGTGGGCAGTATAGTGCCGTGTATATTTTAGCTGTAGTTCATATATTATTACGTATATGGAAACGTTCTCAAATCGCAGGTCTGAAAGGATAATTGCAGTTTCTGCTTTCAGCATTTGATTAAGTGCTCACAGAGAGCTCTGAAGAGCAAAGCCAAAGAAATGGTGAACACACAACCTGAAATCGGCTCTTCACGGCGGGGATTTAACAGCCGCACAGGTCACGCTAACTGTAGAAATTCTGAAAGCTCATAAGATGGCCAAAGCTGTAATCCAGTATGCCTTTGCTTACTTGGAGTTTGGCGCCACCCTCAGTAATAACTGACAATTGCAGAGGTGTTCTGCTTCATCTTTGATCTTAGAGTTGATGTAGTTGGTGATGAATCCCAAATTTACTCCAAAAAATGTCCCGTTCACCAGAGAATTTAAAGTTATAATTATTCTATATAATGTTTATATAGACACTGAATATATACAAAGAATTATTATTTTTAGGACTGTGCCCTGTAAACAAAAACCCTTTTAATTATTTTACACACGTAGATTACGGTGCAATGTATATTATTTTGTTAAAGGGAAAATTATCATAGTATTTATAACCTTAGAAACTGATTTTTGTATAGAGTATATAGTTAGAAATCAAACAAAGAACTGTAGTGCTTTCCAGATTTGCCCCAAGGAGGGAACACAGAGTTTGCAATAAGCTCTGTGTCCATCACCTAAAATGTAGCTCAGAGATTTAGATGCATTAATGCACCTTGTTAACCAGAGAAGCGGCAACGCAAGCAATAGAGCCAAAATCAGCAACGTAGAAGTCATTGAGCACAATAGCGCTTTATGTCTAACCTACAGAATAATCGAAACTATATTTACCTGCAGAACACTTATATCTGTCAGAGCTGATGTTAGAATAGATAAAAAGTCCTAAACTCTCAGTGAGCTGAGAATGGGCAGAGACCATTAAAGGGGGAAGTGCTAATACTGTAAGGATAACGGGTGACACAGCTGTCTGTGATGGTTCATGGGCTTTTATTTTAAATTATACTTTTTTCCACAAAGGGAAAATGACATAGTGGACATTTTTTAGTATTGTGTTTTCGTTCTGAAATGGAACTGTATGTGGTTTTGTTTTTATTTATATTCAGAAATTGCAAAGGACTGACTGGGGCTTTAATTCTACAAAAAACAAAAAAACATCTGGAAGCAGCTGGTCTGGATGCAGGACCCAGTGATTGGAGGGCAAAACCTTTTTTTTCCAGCAGACTTTATTACCTATGTGCTCCGAATGCTGGAGTTTTCTTTAAAGCTTTCTTTCTGTTGTTTGATTACGGGAACACTCAGAGAACCGAGGTTACGTAACCTCCAGCGCATCTCAGCTCGCTCTGAGAAAGTGCGTTAAATTATTTTATCCTTCAGGTCAAAATGAACTTCATCTTTCCTCATTTCTGCTAATTTTTCCCATACGTGCATCAGATTTGTTAACGTGACATGAAGAATGTCTTCAAATGCTTTAAAAATCCTTCGAATGGCCCAAATGCACTAAAACGAACCTTTGACGCAACACTGTAAGAGTATAAAAATTGTTTATTCTTACAAAAGCTGTAAGACTAAATGACTTAATAAGCAACAAGCAGTCTTGTGTATTTCATACATTAATAGTGATTCCCACATAATAACATGAACATTAACAACCACGATTTGTAGAAATGAGACCACATCTGTGTGGTGTGAGTCTGGCTTTACGTGCTTGGGTCCAGATCCTGCCAACATTGTGACGCTTTGTCTGAAGAGTAGCACCATCAGCCATTACAGATTTATGTATTCCAAACAGTGTGCAGTGTGTGTGGTGTAGACATGTGTGACACAAAGTATATTTTATACATTCTGTCGTGACTGCGTGAATTCCTGTAGTTTCATGAAAAAAGCTATTTTCACTCATGCTGCACAACAAGGATATATTTATTGATTTATGTATTTATTTATGAATTTATTGTAATTATTGTACACTGGCAGAATATTTGTGTGGACACGACTTCTTTCAATGCTACCTGCCTCATTTAAATGGTGGAAATATATAACTTTGCAGACCTGTTGAACTTGAGAGATTTATTGAGAGGAATATTTCTTGCAATGAGGGGATTGTTTGTGCAGTCATGACTTTGTTGTGTATTGCTGTATTTGTGGGTGATGTACTGTGCTTGCATTGAGGGAGGGGTGCGGTACGCTCCTTCTCGCCGGTGGTGTTCAGTGTTGTGTTTAGTCTCTCGACCCTGTTTAGTCACACGCAGCTTCTTCAATGGCACTAACACTGAGTCTGATATTTAAAGTTCTTTCTGTTACACAGCCTGCCCTGTTGGCCTTTTGTGATACAGGATACCTCCAAGATTTGAGTTCACTGCTCTCAGCATTGAGGTCACGGGTGGAGCAAAATGTTTAAAGTGGAGTTTAAAAACGTACAGCTTGCTTTTGATGTGGAAGGATTGGATTTTTGCAACCTTCATGACAACACTGTAACAATATTCCAGTTAATATTTGCAAGCATGAATCTGTTATTTTACAGTGTTCCTACTGTAATCTACAACAACAGTTTCCTGCTGTAAAAATATTACAGCTCTGTGCAGTATCTAATATTCAAAATTACCTGTATTTTCACAGCTGTTTTGTAAACTTAGAACCTCTTATTCTAACTGTGGTGGAAAAGTGAATATTGTTTGTTAAAGTTGGCAAAACTTCTTCAACAGGGCTTTAAAACCTGAATGATTTGGGGTAACTCAGCCCTGATTCAACCCCTGCTTTGACTGCAGTGCATCCCAAATGTATTTGAAAGGATTTAAAACAGATATATGGACCCAGGCTCACACTGCTCCCAACAGCTACTTTATGCACATGTACGAACCCAAAACCCTCAAAACCTTCCACTTACTGTACAAAGATAGTATAGCTGTTAATTTGTAAATATGTATTTTTTAATAGAGTACTATTTATATGTTGACTTTGGCCATTGTATGTGTGTTTGGTTCCTTTTTTAGTTCGGGGTGCACATTGTCATTACTGTATCTCTCACTCTGCTTCTTTGGCTCTTAACATCCAGCAGATCACCGGTGGCCGTGTTAGATTGTAGTTCGTCTATTCTTCTGCTTCCTTTTTGGGTGTAAAGTAAGCAAAAGCTCCCTGAAATGTGGTGGATATTAACCCAGCCCTAATCATTTAGATCGCCTGAGATCTGGTGGATGTTAACTGGTTAACTAGTACCCTTGCACATTGTACACAATCTGCCTGTGAGTAAGAGTCAACTCACAGACTAACACTGCTGTCCCTGCTCTTTACTGTCCACCGGCTGTACGTGCCTGGTCACATTACACTCAGAGGTGTTTAGCACTGCTCAGTTTGGTTAGGACTTTTAGCCATATTGTTACACTTGAAAATTTCACAATAAACTGTCAAAGCTTTTGTGTTTTAAACCAGCAGTTCTGGTAATATTCATGCATTGTCATAGATATGAATCTATCACCAAGGAACAGGTCTCAACAGTTCACTTTGGCTGCTGTGATCTTTGTTCTGTTTGTGTTTCCGGCGTCGGTTTGGTCCTAACGTGTGTTGTTGATGTGTAAATAGATGTTTGAGTGTCATGTACTGTAATTCTGTTTGTGCCTCTCTCACTGTTATTAAATGTGTGTCTTTGTGAGAAAGCTTCCCGTTGCTTCCAGTATGTTAGAAAGAACTCGCTGGTTTACTCAGTAACAATAAACGAGGTTCATCTGAAACTTGAAGGCCGTGCTGTGGTTAGTGACTGGGTGTTATTTTAGACATGTTTCAAAAAGCCAGTATCTTTATCCATAGTCTTTGAGTGGCAGCCAAAAATGAAGCCAAGTGATATTGATCATATGTTTTGATGGAAATAGACCAAGCTGGTGATTTAGCTTTTTATTTTATTTTATTTTATTTCTTTACATTTTTCTGTGCAACAACAGTGATGCACCCCGGCCTTTTTTGTTTGTACTGTACAAACCAGTTATTATAATGTTGTTAAATAAAATATTCATCATGTAACTGCACACAGTGTGACCATCTTTCTTTCAGCACTCATGAAATTTTGTTTATAATATCCTCTTAACACGTAGTGTATCATATTTGATACATACAGTTTTTATGAGTTTTTGAGATTGCACAATACACTATTGAGCAAAAAAAATACAAGGTGCAGCAAATATGATACAAATTAAAACTAATCTATGCAAATTAATATATTTTTTATTTGTCAGGAGGCTCAATAAAGGTTCCATGTTCAAAAAAGACTTTTTAGGATTTTCTGGCAATTATTTCATGGTTCAGACTTTAAAAGGATATTACATTTTCCTCCCTCATAATCTAAACACTGATTTATTCTGAGTTATTCAATAAAAACTGAGCCAAAATGCAGAAGTGGTGTTTGAAAAAGTGAGTACATCCCACGATTCAATAACTCGGAGAGCCACTTTTATCAGCAATAACTTAAGGTCATGGTTTTCTGTGTGTCTTTATCAGTCATGGCTGAGGAGGAATTTCAGCAAAGCCTTCTTTACAACGCTGCTTCAGTTCATTGAGGTGTGTGGACATTTATTTATTCACAGCTCTCCTGAGGTCCTGACACAGCATTTCAGCTCAAGTTAGATTGCAGTCTGGCCATTGATTGGACCACATGATTCGTCTTTTTCAGCCATTCTGCTGCAGATTTGCTGCTGTGCTTGGGATCATTGGCCTGTTGCACGACACAGTGTCGCTCAGGCTGAAGCTGTTGGGCAGATGGTCTCACATTTGACTCTAGAATACGTTGGTATAGAATGACTGCAGGTACCCAGGTGAATCTTTTTTCAGTTTCTCCTTATATATATTTATATATCATACCTTATATCTCCTGTTCCATTGGTGGACATTCATATTAAACATGGCCAAAGTTAAAAATAATGAGATCAGTGTGTCCACAAGTAATTCCTTCACATTGCTCTAAACACTTGACTTCTGACAGGTATACCTTTTTTTTTTTATTAGTATGAAGTTATAAAGACAAGATATCCCTAAAATGGTCATCTCAGGAAAAGAAGCTCCACCCACCTGCCGTTCAAACCTTCTGTTGTTAAGTGTCAGCCAATCAGAAGGAAGGGAGGGGGAGGAAGCTGAACCACCTTGTGTCAGATGAATATAGGTGCAGGATGAACAAGTATCATGTCAAGTTGTGAAAAATGCAAAACTACTCTGGTGTCCAGTAAAACATGAAGTTTGAGATCATGCTAAGCATGTTGATCCCGAAGCCTTTGGGGGTAAAGTGAGCCCCTGTCCCCGTCCTGCTCCGTCATCGTGCAGCGCCGGAAAGGGCCGAGCAGAAAAAAGAAGGAGGCGTTTCCACACATCAGCTGCAAATTTATGCAGAACAGTAAAATCAGTGCTGCTGCTGCCGCTTCGAGCGTCCTGCACAGAGAAGAAGAAGAAGACGGGCGAAAAGAGCAGCAGCACCGGGCACAACGCAGACAAGAAGCCCGGCGGATCGTTGCATCGCTCGGTGTCGCTCTGCAGCGGGCAGCCGGTGCAGGAGGAGCCGGACGAACCCGGAGCGGTGACGGTAAGTTCGGAGCGAGAGCCGCGTTAACGAGCCAGACAGCAGCGGTGGAGGCGGGGGGGCTAGCGGGAGGCTAGGAGGAGTAGCCTCCGGTGGATCCAGTGTTAACTGGTCTGAAACATGGAGGATGGCTAGCTAACGTTAGCGCTGTGTGAGCTGCTCAGGTGGCTGTTTTTGGTGGCTGGTGGAGGCTGGAGACGGAGGCAGACTGTAGGTGCTGGGACAGGATGGTTGGAGGAGGAGGAGCAGTGATAAAGGAAACTGCAAAAAAAAAAAATGATTGTGAACACCTGGTCTGAACAAGTCCTGTAAGGTGGTGAAGTAGATGCAGAAAGGCTGTGTGAGCGATGCTTTTGGAGATGTTTCTCATGCAGGAGCCTTTGTACTAAAGCACGTTTCCCCGTTTTATTCCTGTGAACCCCCGAAAATGGATGCTTTATAATGACTTCCTACCTAAACCAGATAACCTGATTAAAATGATAAACTGCTGCAAAGAGGAAATGAATGTGCATTTTTAAATTGCATGTTACAGTTAATTATATCTTTACAGCTGCCATCTTCATCCCCTCACACGTTCCAGGCCTTTTCCTGCATGTCCAGACGTGCAAAACGGAACAAGAAAAAAAAATCTAATGCAGAGCTTTAATTTACACAAGCATAAAATACACCTTTGTTTATCAAATGGTCAAAAATAAGAAGAAAATGCACAGACTTCTGTCTTTTATCACTTCACTCTGAGGTTCATACGTTACAGCAAATATTTGCTTTTTCTTACACACAGATTCGTGTGTAACAGTAACCATGCATTGATGATAAAGGTGATGACGGCAATATTGTGTCAAAAATCCACGTCTTTAATATCAGAGATGACTGAATTTTGTGCATGGTTGCAGAATCCTTTCCACCTCCAGCTCTCGCATTTTGAGTTTAAAGCATTTGCAAAATGATTTGACAGATATCTTTTTTTTTTGCACATTTTTCCCTCATTTTCTGCATATATGTAAAGAATATTATTATTATTATTATTATGATTTTGTTTTTTTACCACAATCCTTGTGACAGCCTGACTTACATTAATTTGGCAAATCTGTAAATGCAACCTGATTTCATTAATCATTTTAGTTGTGCAGTTTAGAGGTACTTTCATAGTCTTCCTGTCTGCAGGATGCATGTTGCATGTCGAGGGGGTTAAAATTGAATCTGCAGCTTGTCCACAGCATGTAAAACAAGAATGTGGTGGGTCGGTCTTATATTGGGCTTTGGTGAAGCTACTTAGTTCATCGACTGCCCCTTAGGTCAACTTTCTGTTGATTGGCTGCCCCTCATAAGCAGAAGGTTTAAACAGGAGGTCGGTGGAGCTTCTGTATACCTGAGATGTCCCCTTTTCTGGACATCCTACAGATCCAAGCAGGAAAAAACTGCATATAATTTACCAAAGTTTCAAGTAATGAGGGCAGTAAATGTAATCTTTCATATGAACGTCCATACTAAATCCATCCCTTACTGTGTGTGTGTGTGTGTGTGCGTGCGTGTGTGTGTGTGACAGAAAAAAGGAAAAGCTTGATGGAAGCCCTTTAAAGGTGTAAACTGGTCTGTGGAGCATTGTGTCCGTCTCCATGGTGGCGATAGGAAAAAACGGCTGTCAGCGAGACACTCAGTCGTTGTGATTTACTGCCATAAAGAATGAAAACATTTTAAAATGTTGAAAGTGTTAAAAATAACCAGCAGCAGAACTACATCAGTCATCCACGCTGTAAAAAGTGTTTCACAGCATCTCGACTCTGTGAGGTCTGCTGTTTGTCAGGAACCGTGACAGGTGTGGAGTTTTTTTCCTCCTCTATCCATCAGACTCTCGCAGAGAGAGAAACTGGTGTTTGTTTCATCCTGTGTTTGACTGACGGACGCCTCATCTGTCTCCTCAGCAGCCATGGAGACAGACGGAGAGCAGAACCAGCAGGGGGCCTCGACCAATGGAAGCGCTCCGTCTGGGACCAGCTCCCGCCCCTCTCCCATGAATTCCATGTCTCTGTATGAAAGGCAGGCGGTCCAGGTAGGTGTGAGTGTTTATACCTGTGTGGCTACAGGACCAGACCACATTGATTTTCACACGCTGACAATGAGGTCCTCACTTCATGGGAAAAGCTTTTAAAGGCTCGGTTCACAGCTGCCTTTAGAATTCAGGTTAAGATCAGTTTAGTTTAACAGTTAAAAACGAACACACATGTTAGTTAGCTGGATTTCCAGTTTTGGGCCTCAGTAATAATCCAAGTGTTCCAGGATTGTTGTGCGCAAAGGGGGGGAAAAGGCATCGCGTTAAAAATATTTAAAATGCTTAAAAATGTAAGTTTTGTTCGACAGGAAATGCGTTTCTTTGTTTGTAAATGTGAAAAAAGGGAGACATCCCTGATTAGAAACCAGTGCTCATCCTCAAAAACTATTCCCCCCTCCTCCCCAAGTAGGAAGTGGTCATAATCTTCATGGGGTGGCTTTTAATGACCCCTACCATCTTTAATATCTCGCTGTTCTCACACTTGAACCATACCTTGAGGGTGATAGCCCGGCAGCATGGTGCATTGTTCTGCTTTCGAGTTGTTATTGTTGGGCTAAAAGTAGGTTGCATGCCTGGGGATTCGATTGCACGTATACAGGTCTAGATTCAGGTCTAGACTTTAAAAACGTGACTCGTGGGAGCGTTTGGTTCTTTGCATAGTTTAAAACTCATTTCAGATGCGTCGTGAAACACGTAAAATAGATCCCTGTGGCAAAACCTTCACTGTGATGTAGGCGGAGCATTTATAATCCTGCCAGTAAACAAAATTGTAATAAAAATTAATAGAAAATGGTGATATCACTTTGCATTTTCATGTCCAAATTGTGTTTTTGGCTGCAGCGTTAACATGGACTGTTTGCGTGTAAGCAGGGGCAGAAAGTGTGTGTGGCTCATTTGTCTTCATAATTTCTGATTTATGTGTTAGCCGATGGACAGAAACTGATGAAGACTGACTGAATCGGGGGGGTAAAGAAAAGAGACCGAGTCGTGCTGGGTGTGATGGAGGCTGGGTGTTATTTTCTCAGGCTTTTGTCACCCTGCACGGCCATCTGTCTCTGTCACCCGGCACACACTAATCCAGCCCGCCGCGCTCGCTTTCATCCCCCGACTTATTACTGTACGAGCCTCCCCTCATACATCAGGCAGCTGGCAGGTTTCTGCAGCTTCGCTCTCTCTCTGCTCCTTCTGCACTCGTTTCTCTCAGTCGGCTCTATCCCCTCAATTTTCTCTGCACTTCCTTTTCCATCCTAAATTTCTCCCATCCCTCACTCTTTCATGTCTTCTTCTGACTCTTTGCCGTCATGTTTTCCATCCCCATCTTTTCACAGCACTTTACTTCCTTCATGCTCCGTTCCTCCCTCCCCCTTTTTTTCTTTCTTCTCCTTCTCCAAAATGCTGTCCCTCCTTCAGTTTTCATTTTTGGCCGTCTGCTCCTCCCTCCAGGCCCTGCAGGCGTTACAGAGGCAGCCCAATGCCGCTCAGTACTTCCAGCAGCTGATGCTGCAGCAGCAGATCAACAACGCAGCACAGCTGCAGAACCTGGCAGCTGTGCAACAGGTAAAGGTGTGTGCAAATTTCACTTTGTTTCTTTCAAGTAAAGGAAGTTATAAACATCCTGCACGTGTTGTTTGCAAAGCACAAAGAAAAACTATTGTAAGAAATAAAACGATACATGATGACGCTGTAAGAGCGTTGCGTAAGACAGATTGCCACCTACTTGCATGCAATAATTAACTCCCATGAAAACCAGAAGAAAAAGGTGGGGAGGCCACGTCTACAGTCGATGCTGGACAGCTGTGGGTTGTAAAACATGGAGGCTTTGTGGCCAGAAACAAAGCTGAGCATATTTTGCATCAACCACACAACAGCCTCTGTAAACATCTCAGTTTTCATTTTGTTTGGAGTTTATTGAAACCTTAAGCTGCTTTTTTTCTCTGTCTCTTCCCTTTCTTCGTTTTACTTTCTTTGTTTTTTTAAGGCCACTCTGGCTGCCAGTCGTCAGTCAAGCCCCTCCAGCAGTAGCTCTTCTCAGACTACCAGCACAACCGCAGTACGTAATCATACAAAAACGATAGCTCTTCATGCCACAAAATCAGTACCGCTTTTTTTCCTTCGAGCCACAAAGAATCTTAAAGATGCACGTTCCTGTTCTTCAGGTCAATGTAACATCTGGATCAGGGTCTACAACCAGCAGCCGTCCAATGGGTGCCTCAGCAACATCCACAATCAGCCAATCAGTGCTGCTTAGTGGGACAGCTGGAGGGCAGGGCCAGATGTACCTGAGAGTGAGTTTGATCAGATGGTTTATGTGCGGCAGCTCAGTTTTGTGCATTTTAATGGCTTTAATGTCTTTTTGTCCTGCAGGTGAACCGCTCCCTTAGGACGCCTATCCCCTCCCAGCTCATTTTCATGCCCGGCAGCACTGCAACTACTGCTGTGGCAACTGTTGCCCAGCAGCCACAGGCTCAGCAACAGCAGCAGGAAGTGCCTCCGACTTCCTCATCCAGCAGCCAATCTGATAACGACCAGGTGTGTGGCTAACATAAAAATGTTCTCATGGCTTGAAGACACATTCTTTCGTTCTTCAGCAACAAAGTGACAGATGGGTGTTTTCACCCAAACATTTGCTCTGTGCTCCATCTCCAGGTACAGAATCTAGCCATGCGAGGTCTGTCGGGTCCTAAAGGTGTGGGTGTTAAGACTGAAGCCCCAGAGAGAAGTGACTCGGGTAGGAAAGAAAGAAGCGGAATTAAACACATAAATGAGCTTTGTAATGCTCTGAAGGTTGTGTATGATGATGGAGCCTGTGGTGGATTTGGCAGAAATTTCAGAAGCGTACACTTAATTTGGACTTTCTCATTTTAGTTATAATAATATTGAAGCAAATTCATGACAGTGATTCAGGTTTAAATGCTTTTATATGTAACGTAACATTAATTTGGGGGTGAACTGCCGTTTTAAATGTGATGAGTCACTAAATAGACACTAATATATTTTCATTCTTATTTTTCCCAGCTGCCTACTCGCTGGTCCAGCCCTCTCACCAGTCTACCCCTCAGTCCCCCACCAAACCAAGCCAGCCTCAGCCCCAGCCATCCCACATCAAAATCCCTACCTACCCCCAGCCTACTAATCTCAAAGCTCACCCCGTCTCTTCTTCCGGTGCCTCGTCGTCCTCGTCGTCTTCCATCCCTCTCTCCCAGCTCTTACTCCACGGTACTCGAACCCTCACCACAGGAACCACAGCTCCCACAGCAGCACATACTCTGGTCTTGACATCCAACGCCACATCTCAGCCCCACGGGTACCCGGTGGGCACGGCAACCATCAAACCAGCGGTCAACGCTCAGACTCTGGTGGTGCAGCCTCTACAGAAAACCTCACTCGGTGCTGAGAAATCAGGCCACGGAAACGGACCCATCCCCATCCAACCTAAAACTTTACAGGGGCTCCGCCTGCCCCTCCAGCTTCCTTCAAGGAACCCCCCTCCCATCCTGCCCGCCCCGCCGCCTGCCAGCAGCTCCGGCCAGCCTCCCCACACGCCTCACATCCCAGTGCAGATAGTGGGAGCCAGGCAGAGCACACTTGGAAATGCCCAGGCTCTCGCTCTGGCCCGTGGCAGCTGCAGCCAGGATGGTGCCGCCGTCCTCAGCAGCTCCTCTAGTCTGCTCACCATGGTGGCGTCCATCGCTTCCAGGGAGGGTGGAGTCGTCGGCCGAGGGGTGGGGCTGAAGACGCTTCAGTCACCCCAGGAGGCTCCCCCCTTGGCTCAGGTGTCTCAGGTGCATCCACAAGCCAATCAGAGCTCTGGACAGAGTCAGAACGGACAGCTGGCTTCAAGCCCCGCCTCTTGCTGGCCCTCCACCATTTCATCTCCTCCCCCCTCGCTGTCTCGCTCCTCCCTCTCTTTCCACCTGGTGACCGAAGAGCAGAGAGCAGCATCAGCTGGTGTAACCACCAATGGAGACTCATCAGGAGGTCAGACGCCACAGGTCAGCTGAAGCAGGATTTAAGTGATTCTCATGAATCAGACTTGATGTTTTTCTAACCCACACACATTTCTACATGTCACAGATGGTGATTTTGGGTTCTAGCACTAAAACAAACACGCTACTCAGCCATAACTGCTCCTTCCTTGTGTAAATATTACATCCTACAATCACTCTCAGTGTCTGTCTGTATCTGTTGGCACTTTTTGTTTAGAGTAAACAGACGACTGGCTCTCTGAAAAGAAAATCAGACTCGAATTCAGCCAATGACGAACATGGCCCCTCCCCTCCACGGCTCCAGCCAGTCAGAGATCATGCCTCGGCCATCCCAGCCAATCCCGTCGATGCAGGTAATAACATAGAAATACATCCCTGTAAAATACTGTCAACACACACACTCGGTGAAAAACAGTATTTATCTTCCTCTCACCTCTCCAGGCTCTGCTGCTCCTCCTCCTCCTCCTCCACCTCCTCCTCCTGCATCCTCTCCTTCTCCTCCTGCATCCTCTCCTTCTCCAGTGCTGCTGGTGTCCCGTGGGACTTGTGGTCAGGGTGAGAGAGCTCCTCCACCTCAAGCTGTGGTTAAACCGCAGGTTCTTACACACCTCATAGAGGGCTTTGTGATCCAGGAGGGGGCGGAGCCTTTCCCTGTGAGTACATGGGATTTGTAGTTTGTTTTTTTGTTTTGTTTTTCTTGTTTTTGTCGGTCGCTGACTCTTAAACTGAATTTGTGTTTGCCAGGTCTGCGGTCCAGTCAAGGACTCGGCTGGTGAAGATTTGACTAACGACAGTCCAGACACTAACCCGTCGGAGACTGTTACCACAGCAACAGGTAACAGCCAGACTGCTTAAAGCACTGCTGCTTTAAAGACACGTTTAAGGGCTGAAATCAGAATCATAAATATCTACTGTAAGGTTTCTGGGATAAAGTTGCCTCTGCATGAGAAACGGCTCTTAAAATCTTGAAAATCAAAATGTGATTTCTTCATTGCTGAAGTCTCTGTGCATTAGCCATAGTACATGTTTTATTGTTGTTGTTCTTTGGCCGTTAGCGTTTTATTATCCTCTATATTTTTAGTTATTTACTTGGTGTGCCCAGTTTTCTAGCTAGATTCTCATTTTCTTCTTTTAAGTCACACAGTCATGATTTGCTGCACAGTTTTTTCTTTATACGGTACACGGTGACTGCCATACTGGACAGTAGATTACAGTAATGTATATTAAAGGCAGACCTTGGTACAGCTGATATCTTCAAAACTGAAACACATAAAAACATTTTGAGCATTATGAATGTAGAGAATTGGAGGGAAAATATGAACGATATGAATTTTTTTTTTTGTTTTGATTTTTTGGTGATCTGTCCCTTTAACATTACAACATGGACATGGCTTATGGGATTTAATGTTGTGTAACAAGATGACCCTTGTTTGCCCTGTTTGTTTGAGCTGGGCTGCAGGAAAGCATAAAGACTTTAATTATAACTTTCAAGCTGGGAATTTCCCACCTCTGAGTCTAAACCGCAGGCAGCGCGATATCACAAGAAAATATCATCGCAGTCTGATTTTCTGTGTGTGGACCGGGACTCATAACCCATTGGAGTATATAATACCACGTTTGCGTTTGTGTATTATTCACCATCTGCTTTGTTCTGTCTCTAAACTCTCTCCTCAGTGCTGAAGTGTGAATACTGTAAAAACTTTGCTCCTGCCAGCCAGTTCCGAGGCACCAAAAGGTTCTGCTCCATGTCTTGTGCCAAGAGGTACTTCAAAATGCATGAAACATATACAGAATAAATCACTGTACTGCAAACAGCTGCAGCCACTTCAGCTTATTTCACAGTGCGAGTGATGAACGTCTGTTTCTAGTTACAGTGCAGTTTGTCATAGATGCTGTGCAGTAAGATTTGGATATCTTGAAGTCAAACAAAACTGCATGAAGCTCAAAACCTCAATCCTCTTTGAGGCTTTTAGTTCTTAGTTATATACAGTGTTTCCCACATAACTGCACTGTAATTGTGCCATGCAGTGCATGTGTGTGCCTTCTTAAATAAATGGAAAATAAATCCTTTATATAATAACGTCTGCTTTCCCATTTACAAACTGCAGCATCTAGAACTGCAGCTGAAGGCTGACTGCTTTAGTAGAATCGACTGCGTGCATATGTATATATTAGGGCTGCAACGATACACAAAATTCACGGTTCGGTTCGATACTTTGGTGTCACGGTTCGATATTTTTTCGATACAAAAAA